TGTGTCTGGCAGGACAGCATAGGTAGGATGGGTTTCTGATTCCTGGACCCACCTCCTTGCAGGCAGCAGGCAGTGAGTGGCTCAGGACATTCAGACCCCTGCTTCACAGGAAAGCAGGATGCTCATGTCTGCCCAGCTCAAGCCACCAGTGAATAATCACACACCTCTTTTGCTTCATACTCCAGACAAGTGTGACAAGTCATCAAAGGTTTCCTTTGTTGCAGAAAAGGTGACAGAAAAATCATAGATGTGTAAAATTATACCCCGATCTCAAGGGTCTAACCAGATCGTTAACTGTAATCTGAATGCTTGATTGAAAATGCGGATTTAGCAGCTTGTGTGTTATTTCATGCCAATTAATTGGGGGGGGGGGGAACCTTTGCAATCCCAACAGAAACAATCGTTTTTACAAATTAACACCCAGTGTTTATAAAGATGTGACATTTAATTTGGTCCTTGTTTGGGCATGTTCATTTCAGGGAGTTTTTTCTCGTCTCCTCCTATCTTCTTTTGTGTATTTGTTTTTTAAATTTTACCAATATTTCAGGAACTTTGTGTCAACAGATGTCTTGTGTTGTTTTGTTTTTCTTTATTGAAGCAACATTGATTTACAACACCTGCATATGATTTAAGGGACGAGGTTCAAAGTCTCACATATAAGTCACAGCAACACCCATGAGTGTGCCCATAGTTCTTTACATTAGGGCATGGCGACCTCTCCCCGCTTTGTTTCAACTTCCCCCACCCCATAGCCTCAGTTCTGCAGCTTATTTTGAGCTTTTGTTGGTAGAATTTTGACATCGCAGCGTTATACTGGAATGCAAGATGGGAAATGAGTGACACAGTAATAGAGAGCAGAAGATGTACTATGCCTGTGGCTTGCCCCTTCCTGGGTGTTTATGTGAGACAGTAGCTGGGGAAATGGCACCATCTCGAATTTCCATCCTCATGGCACACCTCAGGCTCAGGAGTTTGCTCACAAGGCAAGGAGCAGAGCAGGCCCTGTAGGAATAAGCCTGCAACATTAATTTTTAATTTCAAAAATACTTGCATTTCAACCTTTACATTGGTTTAGGATTTGTTATTTCCCAAAGGAAATAAGAAAATTCTTCTTCATCAGATTTTTGAACTATGAGTAAACTGCTATTATTTGCCACATGTCAAACACTAACTAGGACCCATAAGATATATTGAAGTTTTGTCCTTTGGGAATTCTGACGATTATTTTAAATCATTTTCTTGTTGGGAAAAAAGAAAATCCTAATGCTATATTTTACTGTGTTGATATTTATTAGTTTCCTATATTCCTGGAAGAATTTAGAGAAGGAAAACCTTACAGCAAAACATCCTGGGCCTCCCTGGTGGTGCAAGGGGTTAAATCTCAGCACTATCAAGCCATCAGAAGCCACTGCAGCACAAGTTCCATCCCTGGCAAGGGAGCTGACCCACATGGCCCACCAGACCGCTCCTGTCTCACACTCTGTTCCCCTCAGCAGTGTATTTCAGTCAGTCTGCCTGTTCTGCTCCCCACTCTGTCTCTGGTGAATCCTCTCACCTCCCGAACCTCTGGCCTGTACCCCAGTTTTTATATGTATAAATAAAATAAATCTTTTTTTTTTTAAAGCAAAAAGTCCTAACTAAAATGTAGTATGTTGGTGTTAGGGTACAGACTGAGGGGTACCCTGAGACCCCAAACTTGCATGCTCTGAAGGGATTGTGCCTTGTACCAACTAAAGACAAAGCAAACTCTTAGTGTGAAAGGACTTTAGTAGGATTAGTGTCCATAGAGAAAGAAGGAGATAAAAGATAATTATTTTCCAATAAAACACTCAAAGTCATCTATCCCCTTGTGGGTAAATGCCCAGTCAAACAGGGTTGACCCCAAATAGGGCTGCTGAGGTCTGGAAGTTGAAGTCTAAGGCACCTTCTGGCAGGGAACCATAGGAAGAGAGCAGAAGGGCCAGGCAAGTCGGGAACAAAAGGAGCAAAATCAAAATACAAATCAAGGAGACAGCTGTCAGTGTCAGCCTCCCCACATGTCTCTTGCCCATGTCTCTCCCAAGTGTCTGTACGTGTCTCAATTCCACGTCCCATAAATCCCTAGTACAAGCCCAAACCTGAGATGCAAGCAGGACTCGTTCACATGTCCTGGTCCTCCTCCTTGTGCTTCCTTCAAGTCTCCTTCAGCTTCTCCTGCCCTGTTAGCTCCACCCTTGATTAGGTGGGGCAGGAATCATGGAACTTCCCCTTTTATGAAGATTACACTGTAACATTGGGAAAAAAGAGTATAAAACATCTCATTTTATATTGATTTTATATTGAAATGATTATTTATTGCATATGAGTTAAATGAAATATTAAAAAAAATAATGACACTTTCTCTTTCAGATTCATCATGATTTTTCAAGTTAGAGAAAATATTTAATTCATGAGTTAGGGAAAATATTTTACTCATGCGTTATCATGAACATTTGTGCATTTGTGGTGGCCTCCTCTCCCTACCTTCTCACATAGTTTTGGACAAAGAGCTTTTCTCAAGCACGATTCCCTATCGTGTATTGTTTTGTTTTCCTGCTTTGAACGGGCATCTCAGGTTACTCACAGAGCTTCTTAATTTGAAGCCAGTCTCTCTTTGGAGGGGTGAGGCAGCGGTTCTGAAACTTGTGGGTGTATGAGCAGCATCCCGGGGTTACTGAACACTGTTAGGTGCATCACAGAGTTTCTGAATGTGCAGGTCTGGGAGGACATGCATCATAATGACATCTCAGACCCTGCTGCTGTTGGTGCAGGGCCCACACTTTGAGCACCCTGGTCTAGCCTGCCTGTGCCTCGGTCCTGTCCCCCCTTTTAGGACTTGGCCCAGGGGTGTCTTGGAGTGGAGGAACAAGAGCCTCCTATCTCACATGTCAAAAGGAAAATAAATCTCATATGTCAACCCACTTTTCAAACTATTGAAACTCAAATTATAGAAAAAATAAACAAGATTTTGTGCATCACATTGTGCCCTCTGTTTTATAGATGAAAGAGGTTTAAACTTGCATCTCTATAGAGTCTCCCTTTCTCTGCACTTAGCCCACATCTCACTAGTTTCCATATTTATTTATAAATACGAGCTCAGCCTTATTTAAGGAGTCCTGTTTTCTTAGCATTGAGAAGTCCCTGAAGGAAAAAACGACAGCATTAACTATTGAATCCCATCGACTTTGCCATTTATGGCCATGTAACTCGGGGTGAGAATTTCAAGGGATAATGAAACTATAGGTTTGGCCCCCAAAATTTAGACTCCTCTTGTAAATTTCCCCTCTCCTTTTATGAAAGGCAACAAATAGTCGTGTAATGAAAGACTAAAAATTTTCATAAGTTAAATATTTTTCTTGACCAAATGAAGTTTAATTAACTGTTAATTTAAGGAAATGTTCACATCCTGTTTTAAATCAGCAGGAGAAATTGCCAGCACACCTCTTTTCATTTATAAGTGCAAAATGTCAGCCCTCTATTTTCAACCTTATTAAAGTTGAGAACTTTATCACTGACACCTTCTGGATTAAACCTGTAACCACCCAGGGATGAGACAGTTAATTAACTCGTGAAAATTCACAGTGAAAATGACAGCATTACAAATTTGTCAAATTTCCCCAACTCAGAAATGGGAGATAGAAGGGGAGGTCATCTTTTTTTCCTACCACGGTTTACAAATGTATAGGATAAAAGGAAGGTGAGGGGCACATAACTAACAACACCTTTATTTTATTTGATTAGACAATAAACAAAATAAAAATTCATAATTTATTTTAAAATAAAAAATGGAGAACAGAAGTGAAGGTCTTACTCTCTCTGGACTGGAGGATGGGAACGTTGCCCTGCAGCCCCTGCTTAGATGACTGGGTGTCTCCTAAGCTCAGAGGTCCTCAGCTGTCCCATCATCAGAGCTGTTTTGCACCCTCAGCCCAACACATAGCCCCTTGGGGACTTGGAGGGTGAGAAGAAGCAATTTCAACATGAAGCGTGCACTGTGTGTTGTGCCATGAGAAATGAGCTCTGTAAATCCATGGAAAGTCTACAGGAGGGTGACCACTCCCTCACAGCCCCCACCACACCCATTTAGGAACAGCTTGCCAATTTTTGCAAAACACCTTTTCATTTATCTGGCCAGTTCTCTGTGTTTAAACATAAAATTGCTACATAATGGTACTTCTTTATGGATTGTTTATACAACATCTGTCATTTAATGTAATGCAGTGGGTATGTGTTAGCAGATAATACAAGCAGAAATCTCTTTTTCAATCAGAATAGAGATGATAGTTTGCAAGCTATAACTATACATCTTCAGGAATTATCACAAAAGGGATATATACAAGTACCAAGAAATAGAACTTTAGTAGTGCTCCTGGTATCCATGCCTCTGGTTGTGGTCATCTAAATTGTGTACATTTTGGACTATTAGGAATAATGCTGCTGTGAACAACCTATGATACTCCTGTTTGTGTAGTTCTGTTGGCTATGATTTTAGTAGATAATGAGAAATAGTTTTCTTATTGACTATACTAAATACTAATAGTTTCCTATGATTGTACTAAAGTACATGCCCACCAAAGTGTATGAGAATTACTGTTTTTCCAACATAGGGCATTATTCTTCCATGTAAACTTAAAACCAACCTAAGTTCCACTAATTGAACACACTCCACAGAGAATACACACACCATTTAAAATTTGTACTGAACATAATTATACTTCTCTATCTCTACCGCCCCCCCCACATTTGCTTTAAAAGTATTTAACAGTCAACATTTGCTTTAAAAATATTTAAATTTCTACTTTGAGAGGTCTGCCGTGCCATGTGGGTATCTCCCTGGCTGGCCAGGAATCGAACCCGTGCTGCAGAGGCTGTGGACAGCTTCACAGCGCTGTGCTCAACCCACTGTGCCACTGGAGGAATAGTGTTCTTCAATTTTCTGTTCTCGCAGGGTAGTCTATTTTTTTAATAATTAATTTTTTTTTCCAGTGAGAGCACAAATGCAGTCCCCCACAACCACAAATTATGCAGTTGCGTCTGCTACATTTGGGGAAATCACTGGGGTCAGCAAATCCGGATTGCAAAGGATAGTAAGCCTCTCCCTGGGAAAACAACTTTCGTGATCATGGTGTCTCCACTGCAGGTAAGTATAAATAATTAATTATTTTTTAACTGAGGTAATATTGGGGTGCCCCTATCAGGTATTACCACCATAGTGTACCACCAACAACTTACCCCTAATCTACCACCATAGACCATTGTGCTTTCCTCCCTCTATGTTGTTTTCCTGCCCCACTTCTTTCCACCTCTCCCCACCTGGTGCTTCAGTTCTGTAATCAGCTACCAAGGGTTAAATTTTCAACTTGTTTTTATGTGACTTAATTTAGTTACTTTATATTCCACGTACTAGTGAAACCAACAGCTGTTTTAATTATTAGGTGCATGGGTCCCTTTGAGAATAAAACTTAAAGACCGTCTCCTCTATAGATGCATTTATGTGCAAATGCCCATGCAATTCCACCTGAGCTTCAGAGATCACAGCTCCTAGAAGCCCATCACTTCATGGAATCCAGGCCAAGGACTTCTTCCAAAGGCACTGACCGACCTTGGCAGAGTACCCACTTACAAGAGATCTTCAAGTTCTCTTTCCCCTCTTTGTAATTCCCCCCTTGTTTGTAGAGGAGAAAAGTCCCACCTTCCTACTTTGAAAGAGTTATACCTCCTTTCAGAGGCAAGGGTCAATTTCACGCACACCGACCTTGGGAAGGCTTGGGACCTGAGTTCATTTCTCTTGCTGGTAATTGCTCTCCCCACTCTTCTCCTCGCCCAACCTGGTTCTTAGACTTACTGCTGCACATACCACCACCTCAAACATATCCATAGTGCCCCTCAACACTGCCGTCAACAGCTGGCTTAGTTTCTCTTCTTCATCTCCACATTTCCAATAGGGAAATGTTATTCCCCAGTCCCCACGTTTCCAGGGGAAAAATACAATTGGCCAAAATCACAAGCCAGTGAAGAGGGTACAGAGCCCCATGCATCCCCGGCCTGACTGCCGATTAGAATCACCCAGAACACTCATGCCTGACCCAGCCAAGTTTAATCAATGTCATGGAACAAGGGCAAGACATTGGTGCATTTTAAAAGTTTTCTTGCATAATTCTGATGCTCAGGGAAAGTTGAGAACCACTGATATACTCTAAAGACTACAGACAGGCAAACAGTGAAAAAATGTTTAATACAAATGTATAGAAGAACCGTCTTTATGTGAAACGTATAAGGAGATGGAGAGAATTTCTACAAAATCAGGAAAAGACTAATTTGCAGGATCTATTAAATTCAGAGCACTTGAAACTATCAAGTCCTTCCCACATTGCATTCAATTTCCCATCTAGCAGGTGTCAGATCAGAAAATGAGGTCCTCCCCTCCCACTGGTTTTATTTTTTTCTTAAAAAAATTAAATCCTAGTGTTTACGTTTTGTGATTAAAGTAATGCAACTCAATATGAAGGGACTTTTTGAATATGCATTCCTCCATATAATTTAAAATAATAACGTCAAAGAAACTAAAACACCTAAGGAAAGAAATGCTACTGTTAACTGTAATCCCTGTTAACTGTAATTCTCTATTTGTGTGACTTCTGCATTTAAAAAAAATTAATTTTCCAATTTTCTATTAATTAAATTTTCAGTTTTTTCCCTTAAATTCTAATACAAGTGGTGTGCCTGGTTATTACATAACCTGAAAATGTAATTTTAAATAAAAAATATGATTAAAAGCTGTAACACTGTATTCAAACATTATTTGTAATGTTTGAATAGGAAACTAATAGGAAACTACAGCGAAGACTGCCTCTGTTAGCTGCACAATGAGGAGCAAAGTGATCCTGGGAATGGTGTCTTGAAAGAACTCCATTCCCTGAAGTCTTTACAGACTCCACCCCCAGCTCCACCCCTGTGAGATCCCACACACTGAGGATTGCAACTCCCAGCAAGCCAGGGACCTGACTTGGGGCTAGGGAAAGTTAACAGGCCATGCTGGGCTTGTGACTGAGCACATGCTTGCTCTTGTTCTTGCTTCTCTTGCTTTTAAGGCTTTCTCTTGTACCCTATATGGCTGAGAGGACATACTTGGAGAGATACTTGTGAAACTGGATCCCTGTGCACAAGCCAGAGGGTAAAACCCGATTTTTCCCGCCACCTGAGCATAGGCTGTGCTGGCTTTGTGGTACCATTGGCATGTATGGTTTGAGGGCCTACAGGTGCAGGCTGCTCTAAAAATGGACGAAGTGGCTAGTGTTCCACTGCCTGTCATCCCCAGTGTGAGCAACCCCACTGGGACTCAGGCAGCTTTGGTAGACAGGCAGCAGTGGTTCCCAGCCAAGCTGCCTCAAGGCATGCTGCCCCACTGGGGCTGCAGCAGCAAAGTTGCCCCTCACCAGAGCAAGCTCTAGCAGTAGAGGTGGAGACCCAAACCCCAAGGTTTCTTGCACAGGACCTCTTGGAGGAGCATTGGGCGCAGCTGAGGCAGCTCCAGTGTTGATGCTCCCTGGAACTGCAGGCAGTAGAGGCCCGCAGAGTGCCAGGGCAACATGGTGGGCTCCCAGTAAAGCCTACCCCCTGTCCCAGCTCTGAAGCAGGCTCTATCCCCTCCCCCTGCATTGTTACACCATGCCCAGCTGAAGGGGCAAGAGGTTTAAAGTAATCACCATTAAACACTCCCAAGAATCATTGCAAAAAGTTCTAATTTCACCACATCCTTGTCAACACTTGTTATTGTATGTATTTCTTGCACCATCCTTTATGGATGTGAAGTTGTTTCATTATGGGTTTGTCATTGTCCTTAATGACTAATGACAATCAGCATCTTTTATTTATTTATTGTCCATTTGCGTATTTTCTTTGATAAATGTTATTCAAGTTCTTCATCCATTTTTAATTGGTTTGTCTTTTCATTATTGAAATGTAAGCGCTCTTTACATATTTTGGACATAAGTTCCTTATTAGATATAATTTCCAAATATTTTGATATAGACAACCTCATTTTGTGCATTTTTTAAAATTTTCTTGATTTTAAGGGTTTTTTCCTTGATTAAATTTCTTGACATCAATTGCAGCACAAAAGTTTTCAATTTTGATGAAGTTTAAATTACTTATTTGTGTCTTATGTTCCTTATGTTTCTGGTGCCAGATCTATGAAGCCCCTCCACAAGGTCAAAAAGATATTCCTAAATTATCTTCTAAGGGTTTTATAGTTTTAACTCTTATGTTTAGATCAGCAGTCCATTTTGAGTTAATGTTTTGCACGGTGTGAGGTAGGAGATCCAACTTCATAGTGGGCATCCAAAGACTTGAGTATCTATTACTAAACCAAAGACTTTAGTATCAATTACTAAATGAGAAATGTTTTAGATTTTTGACAACTGTGTTTGAACTCCACAGCAGGACCTTGGGCTTACTATCTTGGAGACAAGTAACAAAAGATAGCACACTGTTACTTTTTAGTAAAAAGAAATAAAACCCTGATCTCTCAATTTGCCAAATATTTTCATCTCTTGTATCTTTAGTTCTATTTCTCTCTCCCAAAATACTTCACACTCCAAATGTTTGTTTTTTTCTTCATTCCCCTTTCTTTAAATGGAACAGATACTGTCTTTTTTTTTTTTTTTTTTTTAAATAGAGGCATGTTTTATTTATTTATTTATTTGTTTGTTTGTTTTGTTTATACATGCACTGGGTACAGTCAGAAGCACGGGAGGGTGAGAGAATTCACCAGAGCCAGAGCGGGGAGCAGAGCAGGCAGACTGACGAAACACACTGCTGAGGGGAGCAGCGGGCGGCAGGAGAGGCCTGCGCGCCATGTGGGACCCTCCTCAGGTGGCCGGGGAGCAGCCGGGGATCGAACCAGCGCCGCAGAGGCCGCCGGCAGCTTTGCAACCCAGCGCTCAACCGCTGCGCCACCGGGGAGGCCCCATTCCCCTTTCTTTTCCATGTATTTATTATGCTGAAATATTCCAAGCATATTCAAATAATGGAGCACACACACACACATAAACATGTCTCAGATTCTCATGTTTTCTCTTCTGGTCTAGGTCAGGGCCCTTGTCTACAAATAAGCTTAATGACATTGCTACCCCCTTCCACCATATCTCTTTATAGCAAACTGGAATGTCTACCAAATTAACTGATTTTGAGTTTGAGGTTCTCCCACAAACTTAAGAGCACTAAATGTGACTCTAGAGAAGCAGTATCTGCACCAGATCTCACTATAAAATGAAGGAATGGATAAGAACAATCATGTATATGGGGGTTATATAACCAAATTCAATACAAATTCAAATATAGCACTCTTAAATTCACTCATATTTGACTTGCTTTTCTTAGCAGTGTTTGGCTACAATATTGTGAGTTACAGGAAATATGTATATTTGGTCATTCAAGAGACAAAATATCTTTCATATATATTTGGTCTTCATCTACAATTCCTGCCTCACAGGTCATTAGGACTTGGAATTCCCTAAATATTGTGATAGATAGGGCATTTCTTGTTATGTTAATGAAGGTGACTTTTGGAAACACCTGAGGATGGGGGCTGGTTGCCAGGGAAAGCAACATGAATGTAGGGCTGGAACTTCCAGTTCACCACCCCCAACACCGACCTCCAGAGAGAGGAGAGTCTGGGCTGCAGGTTGAGTTCAGCTGCCAATGGCCAATTAGTTAATCAGTTATCCCTATGTAATGAAGCCTCCATACAGACCCAAGAGGAGAGGCTCCAGAGAGCTTCCTGCTTGGTGAATACATGAAAATTTTGGTGAGAACGGTGGACCTGGAGAGGGCACAGAATCTGTATGCCTTTCTCCATATCTTGCCTTGTGCGTATCTCCCATCTGAATTATATCTTGTGCAGTAAGTTGGTGATCTAATGAGAAAAGGATTTCCTGAATTTTGGGTGTCATTCTGACAAATTAATCAAACATGAGGAAGGGGTACTGGGACCCTCTGATTTAATATTGGGGTGTCAGATGCATAGATAATAATCTGAAGCCACCTGAAGTCTCAGGAGGGGGTCAGGAGGGACATCTGATTTGAACTGGTTAATTGGAAGCCCAGGTAACACCCTTGGATTGTGGCCAGCATCTGAAATGGGGGGT